CTTGCCAAAAGATCCTTCATAAAAAGTCAAGACCATCTTCCAACTACCATTTAGGATATTCCTCTAGCTCAAAAGCGCCCCCAAGTCATCTATTACTAATAAGAAGGTTGTCGCATTTCTAAAATAGTGGAACCGTAATAATGAGGACTTTTTTTTCCTTACTTTTGCAAGAACTTCAATATTTAGAGGTGGAGAGACTAAACGTTAAGGCAGCCTACCAAGGTGTTTTTCAACTACTAGTTAAGGTTCAGGCAATGGCCTCAAGATGCATCTGATCATATTATGTGCAAAATTATCAAATACGGCCTCTTTACAGAAGACTTGCCAATAGACTTTCTAACAGCACTATGGGAAACACAACTCCCTAAAAGAGTTAAAAGTAGTCCATTAGAGTTTGCTAATCCAAGCTTCAACACTTGTGACAAAATACATCCTAAATGCACATTCCGACCAAATTGGGGTAGCATAGCAAGAAAACACAAGGCTCTTCAGAAGCATTGTTTTTCTGCTCTGAAAAGTTTGGTGGAAACTCTAAAATCAAAATTGAATTTCGAACTCAACAGCCAGTTCAGGAGTTGGGAAAAGTATCAATCACCATTTCAAATGGCAGATGATCTGCCATGAATCTTGTGGTCAATAGGCTTATATATAAAATGCTCTACCATGGTTAAAACATACAAATAATACCTGAGATAAGAATCTAAGACACAAGCACACAATTATAAACAAATAAAATGAGTAGACAAGTCGATCTTCAAATAGGAAGTCAGCAAAAATAAGCAACAGAGTCACAAATACTTGTGGAATGCTCAAATTAGATTGCCAAAATTTCTACAGTTCTTTTCAAAACTCCAGACAAAATAATAGAGAAATATAAATACTTCATTTAGAGCTCTTTAGTCTCTGCTACAAGACTGAAAACAAATGGTACGAGTTAGGCTTCCAATTCCAATGGATACAATTTTTGGAAACACATCCTTTTTCAGTTTGTAAGGTAAGTTTTCGAATTATCAGATGTAGTTCCATATCATCATATCATCATATCAGTCTGTGCACTACTTAAAGAACTGAGTAGAAAATATGCATAAAGTTGGTATACCTCGAATTTGGAAAGCTGTTCTTCCACTAATTTAGTTGGCAAGGTATGGACAATGACAGAATTGTTGAGATCTTGCAACTTCTGAGCAGAGGCAAGCGCTCTGTTTTTACCAATATCACTCTCTGAGAACACAAAATTACTAGACAAATCCCATAACTCCACTACACCTTCGTCATGCAAGGTCACAGACTTCACCCCAGCAAGAATAACATTCTTTGCTGCAGAAGAGGGGCAATAAAATAAGATATAGTAAAACTGAAAACTTAAACCAAACACAGAGAACCAAAAGCAGGTAATAATGCATAGGGAAAATTCCCTCACATACGAAATCCAAAAAAGATGACAAGTTTGGGAAACAAAACTAAAACACACCATCAGCTCTAATCTAAAATTATTAATATCTACCACGCCCAAAGCATCGTCGGATGCATCTTCAATGCACCATAGGAGCAAGATAAAAAGCACTGCATATGTTTGTATACATGAATAAAATGTGTTCATACTAGGAATATGCATGTATGTTTACAGAAAGAGAAAGTTAGAAGACAAGACATCCGCCAAGTAAAAAGCTAGTTAAAGATAAGTAATCATCAAATCAAATCAACTGTAAAGATATTCCACGCTATAACCCTATAATAAAAGAAACAAAGAATCCGCTTCAAGGTAAAAGGGGTAATATAAGAACATGTATTCAGAATCAGGAAGCCATGAAATGAATAAGGTCAATCGTCAGATGCTCGCAAGTTAACAGGAAAAGCACAGACTAATGAAGAAGCTTTGGCATGACTCGAAACAAAAAGGCACCGGCAGCAGAGAGGAAACATCCATTGTGCTCAACAGTAAAATACGCAGAAAGTAGCAAAAATGGTGGTTTTGGTCAGTAATTACCAATCTCAGCGCCAAGACCCTGCATTCCAGAAATGAGGACATTGGACGCAAAAAGCTTCCGCATGGTCTCGCGACCATACACGGCAAGCTGTCGGCTGTGCAGATCCTCATCAATATCCTGCGGGTTCAAATTACCCGATGCCATGATCAAGGATGCACCGTCGTTCACGATGTTGTTACCGGTGGGAACAGCAGCAGCTACGTTGGTATTAGAGTTCACGTTGGAGTCGACGTTACAGTTGTCGATCCGGTGCTTCTTGATCAGAGACACCCCGGCGTTCTGAACGCTGTTGCTGATGTTGCTACTGCTGTTATCAATTTGTTGTTCTAAAACCGCACCTTCTTCACCAGCTCTCTTCCTGGGAAGCATAAAGTGCAGTAGGCTGCTGAAAACCCCAGAAGACCTCAACATCATCAACAAAACAACAACGAATAAAACAAAGCCAATAAACAATTCATCAAGAAAGCAAGCATTAACAACCATAAACCCTAGCCAGATTAGGAGCGTAAACGAAGACGAATGGAGTGGGGAGACATTTGGAATCGAAACAAAGAAGAAGAGAGATTAATTAAGAGGAAAAAGGAAGAAGAAACGTACCGATTAGGAGCGTAACAAAGAGAAAGGAAGGAAGGAAGGAAGGAATCTGGAGAGGGTGAGTGGAAGCTCAGAATTGAGGATGAATGGAGAGGTTTCTTTGAAGATGAATGGAAATGGAAGGTGAAAACAAGGGCTGATAAATGGAAGGGAAGGAAGCGGAAGAAGGGCAGAATTGACTTTTTGCACTCACACAATTTTTCGGTACGCCAAAATTAATTAATATTAAAATTGAAATTAAGGTAAATTTAATTACCTAATTTTATTTATTAAATTAATATGTTTTTTTTTTTTAATTTGCGTTTTTTTTTTTTTTTTTTTTT